GATTTACGATCGCGCGACACATTTTTGTCGAGCCTGCGACTTTTGTCGTCGGCGGCGGCGGCGTCCACAAATATTCACTCTGTGGTTAATGTTTTTGAAATTTTAGTAACTTTCTTAAACTATCCTGGATTTCTACCAAACTTGGACAGAAGCTTGTGTATGATCATAAGATAGTATCCAGAAGTAAATTTTGTAAAAAAAAATCCTGTTTATCCGTATTTTACTTATAAATGGACTAAGTTTTTCTACCAGTTAACATTACATTCACTCTGTGGTTAAAGTTTTAAAATTTGTAATAACTTTCTTAAACTATCCTGGATTTGTACCAAACTTGGACAGAAGCTTGTTAATGATCAAAGGCTAGTATCTAGAAGGAAATTTTGTAAAAATTTATTTCCTGTTTTTCCGTATATTACTTATAAATGGACTTAGTTTTTCTTCCAGTTAACATTATATACAGTCTGCAGTTAAAGTTTTTAAAACATTTATTAGATTCATAAACCATCCTGGATTTTTACCAAACTTGGACAGAAGCTTCTTATTTATTTATTTATTTCATTAACTGTAAATATATTATTTGCAATCCGCTATCACACTGAAAACATAGACAACAGCAAAAGTAGGCGAGACACTGAGTTCCGCGGAAACCTTGCGAATTTTTTTGAATAACCTTCAAAATGTAGGTCATTTTATAATATTCAGCTTGAGCGTAATTTATGGAATGACTTGAATTTCCGATTGGTAGACAGAAAGAAAAGCTTTTCGTAATTGAAATTGAAAATAACACTTCATATATTTTGTACATCCGGGACTTTTTACTGGATTTACAATCATTCAGAACGCTAAAACAGACCTTAAAGGAAAACACCTGAAACAAATTGAGCTATTGAAAAAAGTAAAGATTAAGCTTTAAGCAGGAACATATATATTGATATTAGATATACTGTTCCCAGCTTTAAGTTATTCTGATTTAATGACATCTATGAAGATTACTTGTCGAAAGTTTGACATGAGTTTTGGAGGTGTGAGATGTGTGTCATCCAATCAAAATAGTTCAAATTGTTCAGCTTGTAACAGGTTTTGGTGGGTTTCGTGTTTCTCAGTCTTTAGTGGGTTTCGTGTTTCTCAGTCTTTAGTTTTCTATGTTGTGTTTTTGTCGTTTTCCTTTTTTGAATATCCCTTTGGTATCTTTCGCCCCTCTTGTAAGGAAATATAATGTGTTTGTCGTTTATTTCAAGACTTGTTACAGTAATCGATCATGAATATTCGAAATCCGATTTAAGAGAAACAAGAGTGCACACGCTGAAATGTCTCGCCTTCTTTACTAATCATTGATATTGTGTTGATAGTCCAAAATATAAATCTTTATTACAACTGTCACATAAACTTAACATTAACCAAGTAAACTAAACATTGACAAATGAACCATGAAAATGATGTCAAGGTCAGATAAACCATGCTAGGCAGGCATGTACAGCTAACAATTCTTCCATACAACAAATATAGTTGACCTATTGCTTATAGTTTAAGAAAAACAGACCAAAACACAAAAACTTAACACTGAGCAATGAACCTTGAAAATGAGGTCAAGGTCAAATAAAACCTGCGTGACTGACATATAGATCATAAAATATTTCCATACACCAACTATAGTTGAACTATTGCATATAGTATTAGAAAAAAAGACCAAAACTCAAAAACTTAACTTTGACCACTGAACCATGAAAATGAGGTCAAGGTCAGATGACACCTGCCAGCTAGACATGTACACCTTACAATCATTCCATACACCAAATATAGTAGACCTATTGCATACAGTATAAGAAAAACAGACCAAAACACAAAACTTAACTATAACCACTGAACCATGAAAATGAGGTCAAGGTCAGATGACACCTGCCAGTTGGACATGTACACCTTACAGTCCTTCCATACACCGAATATACTAGACCTATTGCTTATAGTATCTGAGATATGGACTTGACCACGAAAACTTAACCTTGTTCACTGATCCATGAAATGAGGTCGAGGTCAAGTGAAAACTTTCTGACGGGCATGAGGACCTTGCAAGGTACACACATACCAAATATAGTTATCCTACTACTTATAATAAGAGAGAATTTAACATTACACAAAATCTTAACTTTTTTTTCAAGTAGTCACTGAACCATGAAAATGAGGTTAAGGACATTGGACATGTGACTGACGGAAACTTCGTAACATGAGGCATCTATATACAAAGTATGAAGCATCCAGATCTTCCACCTTCTAAAATATAAAGCTTTTAAGAAGTTAGCTAACGCCGCCGCCGCCGCCGCCGGATCACTATCCCTATGTCGAGCTTTCTGCGACAAAAGTCGCAGGCTCGACAAAAAATGGTGTGAAATCCGTGTGTATACGTCCATGCAAACGGAGTGTAGTATGAAATGAGACAATCAGCTATACACATACGGTCAAACAAATAAAAGTATGTCTTTAGGTAGAGGCCACGAACGTTAATATGGATTCAAATATATGTTTATTCTGCCACAGTGATAAAGATATCGAAGACCATGTGATGTGTACGAAATTTTGAAGAAAAAAAATTCTGAAATGTACTTTTCGTCTTCTGAATGCGTCCTCTAATCTGCACAGTTCATATGGTTTTGGATAGCCGTTACAAAACGAAATAAAGGCCATACCTACTGACTTAGTTCCTTATCTAGGAGAGGGGAAATTCTTCCTACCTGTTTTATAGCCCTCGATCGAATTCATAATTACAATCTGAATTTATTTTCTTCGTAAAAATTTTAAGTGACGGGAACTGCAAGTCTTACAGAAAGTTTAACCTCTGTTCCGTGTTCTTTTGCAGCAAACTGTAAAGTATTCATTCTGTTTTCCTCATTTATATACTAGTACCGAATTTCATCATGGATAAGCCAACGTGTGTAAAATGTGGAGCAGGAATTGCCTACCTTTCCAGAAATAAAATATTTACTTGAGCTCTTGTTAAGCGATTGTATTTTTCTAAATATTCTGTTGTTCAAAAAGGTATTGGGTTGTTTGGTATATGTCAAGACAAAAAAGTAGAAATTTTAGAGGTTATTGTATGGTCTTTGATATTCTTGCTTTAGTTTTCTGTTGTGGTTATTGTATGGTCTTTGATGTTCTTGCTTTAGTTTTCTGTTGTGGTTATTTTATGGTCTTTGATGTTCTTGCTTTAGTTTTCTGTTGTGGTTATTGTATGGTCTTTGATGTTCTTGCTTTAGTTTTCTGTTGTGGTTATTGTATGGTATTTGATGTTCTTGCTTTAGTTTTCTGTTGTGGTTATTGTATGCTCTTTGATGTTCTTGTTTTAGTTTTCTGTTGTGGTTATTGTATGGTCTTTGATGTTCTTGCTTTAGTTTTCTGTTGTGGTTATTGTATGCTCTTTGATGTTCTTGCTTTAGTTTTCTGTTGTGGTTATTGTATGGTCTTTGATATTCTTGCTTTAGTTTTCTGTTGTGGTTATTGTATGCTCTTTGATGTTCTTGCTTTAGTTTTCTGTTGTGGTTATTGTATGGTCTTTGATGTTCTTGCTTTAGTTTTCTGTTATGGTTATTGTATGGTCTTTGATATTCTTGCTTTAGTTTTCTGTTGTGGTTATTGTATGGTTTTGATATTCTTGCTTTAGTTTTCAGTTGTGGTTATTGTATTGTCTTTGATGTTCTTGCTTTAGTTTTCTGTTGTGGTTATTGTATTGTCTTTGATGTTCTTGCTTTAGTTTTCTGTTGTGTTTTGTTGACTGTTTGATTTTAAGTGTAATAATATCTATACCTTTTCGGTAAACAGGAAGTGGATGATCAGTGGATGTGAAAACGCATCAAACAATAAACCAAACTCACATGAAGCTTCTTTCCATATTACAGAAAGTCTTGATTTGTAGTTCCTGAAAAGAATGCGACTGAAATTTCGTACATGACCATTAAATGTAAAAATATTTAAGTAATCGGTTAACAGGATGTGTATGAGCAATAAATCTGAAAATCATCACGATTAAACATGCTCACGTGAAGCTTAAATTTGAAAAAGCCTCGATTTGTAGTGCCTGAGAAATGCGACGAAAATTTCGTATGTGACCATTCAGTGTAAGACTATATATAAGTATTTGGAAAACAGAAAGTAGATGAGCTATGAATCTGAAAATGCATCAAACGGTAAAGCATGTTCACATGACGCTTTAGACCAAATTTTAAGAAGCTCCGATTTAGATCTTGATGAAAATGCCACCAAAATTGATAGGACGGACGGACGAAATGACGGACAGCGATAAACCATTCGTTTTTGTTCGGGTATAAATATACGCAACTTCCTGTTGTTTTTTTTTTTAATTGAAGAAGAATACAAAATATTACTTTGACAACTCACTGGTTAATCTGTGAATAAGTCAAAACGTGCGGGAAAATGAGTATATACTTTTATTAAAAATTGTTTCAGTTCACGTCTTAAATAATTTCTTTGAAATCACATTGGTATATTTGAAGTTTGTGATTTATTCACTCGCCAAGGTGGTTCTAAAACATTTCGTGTAAACAAAATATTCTTTTTCAACGTCTGTGTTCAAAGGATGTATAGTACTGTGTATGGATATGAAAAACAATTATTGAGTTACTAACCATTAGCTTTGGCAAAATTAAAAATTCTTTTAAGTGGACATTACGTACACACTAGCGTGCAATACATCAATTTGCATTGCCTATTGCAGACAGGATTTTAAAGGTAAGCACTTTTGATATGATAATGACGATTGAAAGTGTTCATTTGCAATGTACAAATACATCAACAATTAAATGTACCGTTAAGTTCAAATGTATGCTTAATATTATCATTTAAAAAGCTTTCAATTATATATTTCTTGTCAGGTGCATAAATCGGTCGAAATCATATTCAGGTATTTATTGCCGTCATTACTTAGTATACCATTATCAACCATTAAAACCGTTTTATGTCTTTATAAACACGAAAAGAATAAACACCATGGGTAACATAGAATATGTAATTTAATAAACAGAAATAATACTGGATTGTCAACATACACTTTAATAAATAAAGTATTAATTTAGATATTAATAAAACATGAAAGGCAAGTGTAAAAAAAATAAAACACATATGAAGTTAAGTGTATAGGGTCTCAACAAGAATACATGATCCTTACATGAGTGTAAAAATCTTAACTTCTGGTAACAAATGCGGCGCCATATTTATTAAATTCATTTTTTACTACTGGTTGTTCTTTTCTGTCGTATTGCGGGTATATACGTCTCATTCCATTATAGGAATATTTCCACGAATTATGCTTTGCAAAAGGTTCTTGACTTGTGGCCATTACTTGCATGGCAGTCTTGTGGGGCACTTCCGGTGGCTTATACCAGTCTGTAGTTTTGGTTTCTAGTTTTGCTGGTCCACTATTGGGAGGTTTATACCGTTTAGGGAACCTTCTGTGCACTGGGGGTTCCCCGGTTGGTTTTCCTTGATATGTCACAGCATATGACGTATTTAGATCAAAGTTTACTGGTACACGATCATTGTGTTTTAAGTAAACATTGTCTGTGTGATGAAGTCTTAAATCTGGCAATATCAACCGTCTCCCTAAAGTGCGATCATATCGACCCTGCAAAAAAAAAAAATGTATTCAAAATACAATATATAAATCTACTAGTCATAAAAGTTCAATAGAAACTTTCCATATAATGAGGGGGTGGACAGGGGGGTACCCTTCTCCCACCTCCCACTTTAAGAATCTTTTTTTCTCTCCCACCTATTTTTTTGTATAAGTATGAGTATAAGTAAATTATTTCTTATTACATAACAATAAGGAGATGTGGTATGATTGCTAATGAGACAACTATCCACCAAAAATCAAATGAGGTGGATGTAAGCAATTATGGGCAACCGTACGGCCTTCGACAATAAGAAAAACCCATACAGTATTAGTCGGCCCGACATGAAATATATGAAACAATTCAATTGAGAAAACTAACGGCCTAATTTATATAAAAAAAAACAATTTACGAATAACAAATATGACAGACATGAACCAACGACAACCACTGGCTCCTGACTTGGGACAGGCACATAAAGAATGTGACGGGGTTAAACATGTTTGGGAGCGCACAACCCTCCTCTAACCTGGGATAGTGGTGTAACAGCACAACATAAGAACAAACTATAAAAATCAATTGAAAAGGGCTTAACTCAGCAGATCGATACAAAGCAGAAAAACATCAAACAAAAACACGGACCGGACGTGGCAGGGTATATATCCTTCCCTCATCATTAACAACAAAAAAAGACACAACCCTTACCCTAATCAAGTACAGATCTGAGAGTACTCGCAGTTACTGACAGCTAGTTCAAAGCCAATAACAACTAATAAAAAAAAATCATGTATCTAAGACTAAAACATCAATCAGTACACATCCAACATCCAATGGATTTAGTGTAAAGACGTCATTAACAGTCAGAGAAAAACATGACCTTGTGCAATGCCAAAATATAGGTATCGACAGATTGTAGTACCGTGAAAGTACATATGTGTATAACAATAATATTTAGTATGGTTTTAGTTTACTGAGAACAAAATCAATATTTATACCAATAAAAACAATATTCAAAGATTTAACTACAGTGTTATATGTCTGCTTAGATGGAGTTTAAGATGTTGTATCAAGAATTATCATGCATTTCCTGCCAATTTACAAAAATGCTACATGCAATATGAGGTCGTTACAGTTCACAAGATATGCTGTATATTGTTGAAATCTGTATGTTGTCCTCTAAATGTCTTTTGTTTATTTTCTCGTTTGTTTCTTTCTCATTGACGTATACAACCCCCCGCCCCATAAATCTATTTTTATTCATGCTAAATCAATTCAAATTCAGACTTTGAGAACCAGGGGTAGTAGACATAAATAATGTTAAAAAACTAAATGTGAAGGATATGACCATCATGAAACAACTACAAAATTAATTCGCAAACGCTTTGAGAATGAAATGATTTCTTTTGAAATTCTCACTTTCAAAATATGTCATAAATTGTTTTCTAATCATATTATCTCAGTTTCTTTTTCTTTATTTTCGAGTTCCAGTTGCTCAGACCCACGAGAACTACGAATAGAGGGCAGGCTTAGCTACTGTTACTATAAGATTATAGTGGTAGGAACAACTTAACGTTAAATAAAGAAAATAAACTGCTAACAAATATCTTAAAATCTGTGACCAACATAATAAGAGGAGTCACCAATTCCATGACCATGTAAAAGGTCTCCTCATACATGTAAAGAAAAGCAAGAAGACTCTTCAATATTAAGCACCAGAATAAACTAATTTCGTTTTTTCTTCACATAGAACAATAACTGGTTATACATATTTTTCCACTGGAATGAACTAATTTAAACATGAAATGATTCTGTGTTTTACAGACCGTATATAGATAACATTAAAACATGTAAAAAGACACGGTAATTTGAAAAGAATCAATAAAAAAACCAATACAGACATACGACAAAAATATGCTAATCAATATAAACACAACTCTGTATATTGTTTAAAATTCTAAACTGGTAATCCTATATAGAACTTCTTCATGCTAGCCTGAAAACAGTCAATGACTTCGCTTTTAAACACGTACAATTATTTACATATTGATATATAAGCTCTTTAAAAAACTGTAGAAAAACTGAATACCGTATATCTTTTTTGACTTGCATATGAACCTGGACTTGTTAAAACGGATTATCAGCCTAATACTATACAGCGCGATGGAGTCCTAAATAAAATAAAACTAATTTGTGGATAAAACAATGTTTACATCGAATGAAATATACTTTACGTCTCGAATTCAAGGCAATTTGTTTTGTCATTTTGGATTGGAAGTTTTATTCGAAAACTGGGGCTCTTCGTTGCTGATCTTAATAGCCAGCACTTTTGTTGGGTACTGAGATTTCATAGTGTTATGAAAATAATTATGATGATAAAGAACTATTCATTTCATGGATTTCATTTACTCCATAACATTTCAAAAGTGTTGTATGTATTAACTTATGAGAACTGCTCCTTAAAATTGTATAAATCTAACACAATTGATATTTTTAAATCAGATTACTGTTATCAAACAACTGTTTAATTATCACAGCCATTTTTAAATTCAAGCATTGTTTAAACAACCCAATAAGTACATAGACCTGTTCAAATATCATTTTTCATTCACGATTATTAAACACCTATATGATGGCACTTTGTCTTTATTCATGATAATGTTCCGTGAAATAAGAAGAAATTATTTTACTGTTAATTGAACTAAAATATTAACACCTAAATAACATGTTTTATTTTCCCAGTCACGCATGTAAATCTTTCATCAGTTAACGCGAGAAGAAATATTTTCCCATATTTGCTTGGACAAATCAGTTAGTTAAATATAAAGCTGTGGATTTGGATCGTTCTCAGTTTGACTTTTCAGGTGTTATGCAGTTTACTTTTGGGTCCCTGTAAGGTACAGCCATTCAGCACAAAAAAGACGTTACTGTAACTTTCGCGGCAATAGCAGACTTGTCGTTACCTTTTTTAAAAAAGGACATTCAAATTTTTAAATTTGTTTTGTGTCTAGTCGATTTTTCAAAATCTTGACAGCCAGCCAGATAGAACACAAAAAAATATTAAACACAGCGCGTATCCATGATCTTAACATGATGCCATTCAATTTGACGCCATTTAAAAAAAATTGATAAATCATCTTATCTACTTCAAACTACACATTAGAATTGAATGTTTTATTTTGAACCATAAAATAATTAAGGACATGCTTAAGTTCAAATGTCACCTTAAAAATCATAGTTTCTTGATTTTCGATACATTTTCTGAGTTGTTTTATTTTCGCAGACTTCCAGAAACTCAATACTCAACTTTGGCCTAGCTTTGCTATTCAACCCGGCGTACTTCGGTGTTGCAAAATATTCAGTCGGGTCTTTTCCCATTAGTAATGTTAACAGCTCATTGGATGCTTGAGTTTTGAACTGAATAATAAACATCATAGCACTGATCCAAGATTCTGTCAACAATGCAAAGTATTTGAAAAAAATTTTTTTTACAAGTTTTATACTCACATCACCAAAGTATACTCCATGATCCTGGAAAGAGTGTCGGTTATCGTGCTCAGAAAACACATTGGAAATTTTGTAGTTGATCTGAAAGAAAGATAAATCGTGAGACGTGTTTATTATGGAAAATAACAAATAACAACTACAAACAAGTCGAAATAACCTAAAGAGAAGACGGGTCAATGAAATGAAATTACCACAAAACACAAAGATAAACTGAGGTGACACGTACTCTACTAGAAACCGATAGATGCCCGGCAAATTTTACCCTCCGGTAAATTATTAATATTTTTAATTTATCAAGACACAGAAAACTATACAGAAAAAAACAACCAACATCAAGACAAATTCCCTGCACACACAATACCTCATGAATGCCTGGACGTCTCTTCTGTCGAACAACATTTGGTCTGTGTCGTATAAAATAGGACATTGCTGGATAATGGTCAAGTAATTCCATCAAATAGTATAGAGCTTTTCCGTCTTTTATAATTTTGGCACAGTAATGGTCGTCAACTATCCTACCCAAAGTTATTACATAGTGGCGTTTATCTGATCCTCGGAACTATGTAGTACTTATATATACTCTTTAAACCTACCAGAAGTTATCATTATTTTCGATCTTATACCAATTACCGAGACATAATTATCATTTAAATCAAAATAATATAATTTAATATCTCTCATTATTATTTTATTTTTAATAGCTATTATTGCATGTCTATTGACTAACGTCTTCGGAGTATTATACATTCATCGAAGCGATAATATGAACAAATCTGTCTTAAATTTAGCTTTAACTTTTGCTGCGGTGGTTACCGCTTTGAAATTTTTGCGCCATTAATTGATTGCACATTGCATTAATATATATTTCCACATTAAACAGGTTATTAATATATATTTAATTGAAGTATAATATAAGTTCTCAATTAGATATACGAAATGTATTTACTATAGAAAAATCTCTTTAATCTCTCGGATACAAAAATTAGAACAAAAATATTGTGTTTTAAAACTGTTTATTTTTTGATAGTATAAAAACAACAAGAGGTCAAAATGACAGCAAATTGTTTGTTTTTTTTTAATTTATTAGTGTAATTGTTAAAGCAATTAAAGGCCATAACTCCTAAACGACACAAGTGAAAATCGCAAATACCGAATTGGACCTGTTTTTGTCATCAGTAACAACATATTAAAATTTTAAAAGCATCACCCACCCACCTGACGTACAATCCCATGTCAATAACCAGATTTGCGTCGGAGAATTCGGTTAAAAATATAATTTAGACCAACAGCTAAAACAATGCTTTTTTTTAATTTCGTACAAAATGCAGACACTTCAAGTTCAAGAAAATAATGCGATGTGCATTATCTACATCAAGGGTCATTATTAATTGGCAAAACTGATATCCCACATTAAAACCAACACATCCCCTGTAATATAATATGTGACCTTTCGGGGATATAAGTTTCTCATATAGTTATATTATTACTTTTTCTTATTTTCAAAAAGATGATAAAAGTTTTGATGTCATGATGAATCTATTCAACGCAAATGTTCGAAGAACAGATTTTTAAGTGCATGTTAAGTCATACAATACCAAATAGTTCTAAATACGACTTCTCCCCAGAAGAATTTAACATGTATGTCAATGACTTGTTAATTTGTTTAACTTATTTCAGTATTCCCTTGATATAACATTGATTTATAGCCGTATAAACATCATATTTGATACCATATCATTTGAAATTGACTAGTTACCGGTCTGATTTAAATAGGGTATCTTTAATACAGGTATACACCACGAAACTTCGCACAAACTGAACATTTAATTCGAACATCAGATTAAAATTCATAGAAATTATCATTTCTTTATCGTGTAAATTTTATATTTAAATAATTTTTAATCCAGCGTTTTTTTTTTTTGTATTCTGCTAAACAGATAAAATATAGATACCATGGTTTTTGCACGAAATGGTTCCGGTGGTGGAGCAGGCTTTCCGGGTTCGACAAATTGAGCGTTCATCATGGAACCAGTACTTGTATCACATGTTCTTTCCAATTTGGCACTGTTACTTCCACGATGGACGAACTGAAAGAGAATATGTCTGTATGTACAAAAATAAACACCAGAGCTGGGATCTTAAGCTTTGGCACATAGAGGTTACCGCTCTTACGTCGAAAACTTTATCATGAAATAACAAGAAATTTACCAATTCTTCCTTTAAGTAAGAATTGTTTGCTAGGTGGTGGCCCTTCTGAAAATCCTGGCTCTAAAAGAATTTGTATATTTTGTTTCTTTCATTAGCCTTCATCTCTTTATCAGTTTTAAGGTTCAGAAAGCATATCTAAGGTGTAAATCTATTGTAAGATTTTTCTAACATTACGAAACTATAAAAACTATTTATACCATTATATAATCATGCTTAGATATACATTAATAAGAAAGTGGAAAAACTGATGTGTTAATATCTTTACAAAAATGAATGTCCTATCCATTTATTTGATTAACTATGCAAATCTTGATTCGTCTCCTCAAAATGTGTATAGGTAAGCTATTTAAAGAGTAAGCAGGTTTTTTGGGATATTCTTGACGCTTATCTCGGCTTAAATTTATTGAATAAAATGTCAAAGTGAAATTAAATTAAAATCAATAGTAATGCACTTATGTATTTAAACAAATCGTGATATGATGAAAAAAACATGGTCCCACTTAAAACAAACAAAATAGTTATTTCAATAGGTATATCCACTTATATTTTATGAGCTAAATAAATATGAAATCTACATATCTTTAAATGTACATATTAATTTGTTAGGCCTGTAAAAGGCTTTATAAATGTTTGACTTACAATGAAGGGGTATTTTGATAACCATAAAATAATGAGTTACTCTACAACAACAATGAAAAGATAGCATGCTTAACTCCGTATTACAAAATGTAGATGCAAATATACAACTAACTGGTATTTTCTAACATGCATAATCAATATAAATAAGAAGATCAGTACTTTTCAGATCTCGTAAAACAAAAGTAATAGCATCTAACAAGGGGCATAAAGATGTCCATATAACTGCCATCAGCCATTAAAATAAAAATCAGAACGAAAATATATATTTCACCAAAAATAACAAAAGAGAAAGATCTCCTTTAACCAAGTCATCCTGCCATCACCATTACTTATGTTTTAAGGAAAATATGTTGTTTTCTCTCATTCCCTTTTCAACCCCTTTATTGCATCAAATAAGAGGACTGCATTTAAATCTTAATTATTAAGGGCCTATGATCCATTGACGAGACTTTCAATTGCGCCCATTTATGTATGGCTTAATCCGTCAACAAAAGGTGATTCAAAAGAAAGTTTTTCCACTCTATTTGTGTCCGACACAAATTTAAAAAAAAAAACCCTTCACTTCTTTCGACACTTATCGTCTCCCTGGCAATAAAATACAACAAAGTACGGAGCAGCTTCGCAACTACATTAAATGCATGGTACACTGCAGATGTAATGTTAATTTGAATGCATATCATAATTTGACAAATGAAGACATAAGAGCATTTTTTTCTATATAATTTGTTATATTCTGAGTATCATGCTAATTTGCATGCTTAATTTAAAATTCATAATCCTGGTTGTTCAAAATGGAAATTTTAATAACATAGCAACTCGGAAATAACTGTGAATAAAAGTTTATTGATCATTTTCCATTTTGAAGAATTTAATTATATTTAAACATCATGGTACATTTAATAATTAATGTAAGCAAGTTAAAGGGGATTTAAATTGGGTGACATAATAAGTTTTGACAATAGAAAATACATTAGAATGAATCTTTCTTTGTTGTCTTATCGGTGCCATTCTTACAATGATAAACAAGTTCCATTATTCAACCTTCTTTTTTGTTATACGATTTACTAAAAATGAGTGTAATTAAAAGATGGCCTAGAATTTCTTAACTGTGTGCTAAACAAAATAAGATACGATCGAATCCTTTTCATATTGTGACAATTGTTTATATTATTATTTTGAAAAGACATTTTGAGAATAGTCCTTTTATTTATTTAAGAATTTGCAAAATAAGTTGACAATGTATTATTTAGGATGTGATCATATCTACAATTTGTTGTGACAGGACTTGATCAAAAGATGAGAAAAATATTTTTTTGAATTTCAAACTATTTACTGTGAGCATAAAATTTTAAAAAGGGTGTAATTCAATATAAAAATCTTCAAAAGATGAAATTATAGGAAATAAAACTTGCTCGAAGTATCTAACAACATATTTCAGATGGTAAATATGTAGAAACAGAGAGACATATATACATTGTATAGATATGTCTGTGGTAGAAATAATCTGTCAACTTTGAATAGCATTAAACTAAATTCTAACTGTCATTAAATTATAAATCGAAATCGATATAGCACAATATACGTAAATAGAATTTGAATTTAAATAAACAATTGAAATTAACTAGCGAATACTTACCCAAGATCCATCTGGATCCACCGAGGGAACAAACTGTCTTCCTCGTCCCATTTTGAACTATTAAAATTCTTAATATATCCTCTTCATTCCGTCAATTAAAAAAAACTACCAAGTCATTAATTTCGATTAAATTACATGTTGTCCGTTACTTAACAACTTTCATATTTAAAACTATTAGATTCACTACATGTAAATCAGATCACAGGAAATCAATCGTACTTATCAACGATCAGACATTTAACTGTGACGTATCGCTGGCACAACCGAGTCCTTAGTTACCACCCGTAAAAAGGGGGAGGTTGTCGGTCAAATAAATACAACGTAATCTGTGTTCAAAACACAATAGGCATTTAATTGAATAGCTCAATTAAAAGTATTTGTTAGTTAATGGGTCAATAATCGCAGGAATTAAAGGGAGATCACGCAATTATTATCAATAAAATATTTGAAATTAAATAACGCTAAAATAAAATTATTTCCGTCTCAGTTCAGCCCGTATTAACATTGGGATAACACGTTAGTTTCATCGTTTTTTAAACGTTCTTATATTTGGATAAATTATTCAAAATATAAGATGTGTGTTGGATAATAATTCGAATATTTATTTATTGGTAAATTTCAATGAGACCTGTGATTGAAAATCCATACTATATATATATATATATATATATATATATAAAATCTTTTATGGTAATATTCTTTACAAAGCACAAAAATGTCGGCATTCACCTCAAAAGCTAACCAAACCTTTAAACAGACTTATTCAGAAGGGATATAGTTACGATACTGTTGTCAGATCATTGAAGATGGCATATGTTGGTATTAATATTGATTCACTCATAGGGTCTTTGCATCGGAGATAAACACATTTGTTCTAAAACAAGTTGTTGGCATGATACGGGTTATGTTCTTCTCGTATATTTTATGATGGTATGATACTAAACCCCTAACGGGAGGGATTGTGCTTGATTTTCATATGATGAAGACATAATCTTTCAATCAGTTTAATTGAAGTCTGGAGCTGGCATGTCAGTAACTGCTAGAAGTCCCTTGTTAATTTATGTATCATTGTCATTTTGCTTAGTTTCTTTTGTTACTTATTCTGAAATCGGACTCGGACTTCTTTTAAACTGAGTTTTACTGTGCGTATTGCTGTGTGTTTGTTTATTCTACATTAGCTAGAGGTATAGGGGGAAGGTTGAGGTCTCACAAAACATGTTCAACCCCGCCGCATTTTTGCGCCTGTCCCAAGTCAGGAGCCTCTGGCCTTTGTTAGTCTTGTATGTTTTTTTTTAATTTTAGTTCATTTATATGTTTTGGAGATTAGTATGACGTCCATTTTCACTTCAACTAGTACACATTTTTATTTAGGGGCCAGCTGAAGCCCGCCTCCGGGTGCGGGATTTTTCGCTGTGTTGAAGACCCATTGGTGACCTTCAGCTGTTTTCTGCTCTTTGGTCGGGTTGTTGTCTCTTTGACATATTCCCCATTTCCATTCTTAATTTTATATTCTGTGACTGCATCCTACAGTAATTTGTAAACTAAGATCCTCTACGATAGACAATTCAGCTGATCTGTAATATTCCATTTTCATGCCTTATATATCATGTACTGTGTTACGACGCTAGATAAAAACTGACGAGGAAAGGTAACACCCGGCCACCGAAAGCTTGATTTTTGTCGAGCCTAGGTGGTCGAGTTGTCTAGCGCAAGGCGATTTGGTGCCACGATATCTCAGTAGCATGAGTTCGAATCCCGGCCAGGGAAGAACAAAATTTGCTATCATTGTTGGGCTGTTATTTAGACGAATTATATATATATATATATATATAAATCAGAATATTAGGATTTTCTGCATACAAACGACAATTTTGGTGAGATATGGGTGGTAGTACGTTAAAGGTATCAATTACCCTCTTTTCTGTTTCAGTAAGAACATAGACTGGGCAAAATAACCGTTTTCTTATCACCCTTTAAAAGTACATGATGTTTCGTCGCCTATGGAAAAACGTTAGATAATTTTCAACATAGCGTTGTAAAAGCAAGTGTAGCTGTTCTATTGAAGACATGCATTATTCAAAGGTTTACGGCAATTGAGAAAACCAAACGAACTGAATATCTCAAGTTATTGTTATTCTTAATCTTTACATATGAGGTCTTCAAACAAATCATCTTAATGTGTGGTTGTTATACAGTTTTGACAGAAAGACATAGGTCATGCCTATTTGGAATGAATGTTGATTTACGATTCAAATTGGACTCTCCTTTTTATCATGAAACAAAATACAATCTTAGAAGACTATTGAAGATATATCCTATCCAGTAAAACAATAAATGAACACCACTTCGGTGTCTAGTAGAAATAAAGATTTTTCATTTATTTGTGGGGGGGTTAGGGGTTAATAAGTTATGACAAAAGAAAAGTAGTACAATACATATTAGGGAATCAATAAAAAATAACTTACTGTAAACACTTTCACGATATCAGCCATATGCTATCTACATTCTTAATGGTAAGCCTAATTTCAAAATAAATAAGGTCAAGATTTATAAATAATTAAAGATAGTACACAATGTTTCAAAGATCATAGGGATTTTTAATCCTACCTTTTTACATCTTTAACATGTTTGTATTTATAATTATTTTATGGATTAAGGCACAACTGTCAGCTGAGGGGAAACCGCCGAAGTTGGTCTAGCGATTGAGTGTGGAAGGTGGTGGGTTAAATCCCAAGCCAGGTCAAACTCAAGACTTGAACATTGGAAGATGAGGCTTCTCTGCAGAGCATGCAGCATTCAGGAGTAAGAGCAGTCTTGTCGGCTTGGAGTCAGTATAATGTTTCTGTGTAAGGTAATAATTATCACGATCTTCCATCGGGCTGAAAACTTTTGAACAGTCTACTACAAAGAAGGGTTCATATTCATATCCTATCAGTAAAATGATCTCGTCCTGATCTGCATGGTACAATTGCCTGCTGGACGTAAAACACCAATCGGCCATCATCATCAGCTAGGGATATGAAACTTCGGCAGAGTTGAATTTCATTACATTTTGGTAAAAAATAAAATGTGAACGTGTCCATGGGACACAGATGATGCCTATAACGTTATAACGGAGCATTACTCTAGAACAGTAAAAGTGACGCCGACCAAATTCGTTCTTGATCTGTGTTTTGTGGTAATAAGCATTGTGTATAAGTTTCATAACATTTGGTTGAGGCAAACTAAAGTTAGAGAACGGAAACCAATTTTGGGACGTACATACGGACGAACAGACGTACAAGGGTAACACTTAATGTTCCCTCCGCTGCGCCGGGGGCATAAAAAATATTAAAAGTATGGTACAATGATCTAATAGTTTCTATAACAAAAGGACAGATACAATTCCAGGTCATTTTGATTTTCTGTTCTTACAATTATATCAAAATGTCGTTTTTTTCAACTTTTGAAATGGTTGATAACAATATTTCTAATATGTTATTTGACTATCTCATAAACTATTGTCTTGAATATCTATGAAATATTTGCCACTGGGCACTTTGCAAACAGGAACCAGTCAGTCAATTGCATACAAAAACTCAATCCTTTCCAGTTCAATAATTATATAAAATAGCATCATAGCCTAATTTAAGTTGTATTTCTCATGGACCCTTTTTGATATATCCATTTTATTGGGATCCTTTTGGAGAAAAAAAAATGTGTGATACATTTGGCATTGCTTGAATATGAGCAAACATATATAATAAGTAATCAAAGCACTGTAAGCGCTGTAGGCAGTTAACCAAAAACCAAGGCAAATGTAATTATGAAAACTGTGGCAGTGTAACTTCATTTTTTTTTAAAGATTTGAAAGAACAAACATTAAACATTCGTATATTGTACATTTATGTTCATTAAATGAATTGATTATTAAGGCAAATTAATTAATATTGCATCAAGGTTTTCAAAAGCAACTTATATATCAATGTAAATGACCCTTATCTTCACTCCCAAGTGCATGATGTTACTCCATACCAACTTTGGAATAAAATGACAGGCGATTATAAAACAGTTGGTCAAACATTCTCGGGCTTTACACTGCTTAAAAGATTTATATGTTTTCTTTAAAATGAGCCATAAATGAAAATCATTATCGGCCCAGAAATAATTTAATAAATAATTTAAGTAAATTCAATTAACCTAGACTCATTTTTTGCATCAATAAAATTTTATAATAAACAAGAAATAATTGTAACAGGATGCCGTTACGAAGTCTCCCAAACAAAGCCCCCATAATTCGTCATTCCCATGGTCTCCTGACATTGGGCAAAGTCCAGTTCATATTGGTTTGGTCTAGTAAAGTGATATGCATATGTGACACCTAGGAGATTGACCCTGTATGTCATTCAAATCTTTTTGAAATGATGAACAGGAATAAATATGGTTTAGGTGTGGGTATCTCGACCGTTTACAAGTTCTCAAACAGGAGGGGGGTGGGATGACCCCAGGGACTCCCCCTATATTTCATTTGATTTGTTATATTGTCCCATACATGAATACATATGGTTTAGGGGTGGGGATCTCGACCATTTCCAAGTTCGCAAACAGGAGGGTGTGGGGTAACCCCAGGGACTCCCCATATATTTCATTTGATTTGTTATATTGTCCCATACATGAATATATATGGTTTAGGGGTGGGGATCTCGACCGTTTACAAGTTCTCAAACAGGAGGGCGTGGGGTGACCCCCAGTGACTCCCCAAAATTTCATTTGATTTGTTTTATTGTCCCATACATGAATATATATGGTTTAAGGGTGTGGATCTCGACCATTTCCAAGTTCTCAAACAGGAGGGGGTGGGACGACACCGGGGACTCCCCCAAATTATTTCCATTTGATTTCTTTTATTGTCCCATACAAGTATATTTATTGTTTAGGGGTGGGGATGACCCCCAGGGACTCACCCTATATTTTGGTTGATTTATTGTCCTGTTCTCATTATTGAAGACTGCATGTGTCTATCACTTACTGTTTTCGAGAAATAGTCATTTGAAAATTAAAAAAAATAAAATCCCATAGGGTTCTATAGTAAACCCCTCCCTTCTTCAGGCCCCTCCAAATACCCCTAAATAGACCCCAATGCACAAACAAAAGATTAATGGCTCCGCTAGACATGTTAGTCTAATATTTTATGAAACCCTAAGTAAATCTGACAAACGGTCAAAGTTGTCTTCTTAGACGATTTGAGTGGATTCGGTCCGACTTGTCTCGGGGACGAGTTGTCG